ACACTTCACTATACACACTGCATTCACTATACACACTGCACTCACTACAAACACACACTACATTTATTATACACACTGCACTCACTACAAATACACTACATTCATTATACACACTCTGCACTCACTAAAAACACACTGCATTCATTATACACACTCTGCACTCACTACAAATACACTACATTTATTATTCATACTCTGCATTCACTACAAACACACTACATTCATTATACACACCCTGCACTGCACTATATGCATAGGAGTGTATTTTATTTTATTTTTTAAGGGGGGGGGGGGGGGGAATCTTGGGTGAGTTCCCACACTTTTTTCCCCAGGACTTGACCCCTGCATCAACACCACATTCAGCATGGAGAGGCTGGAGTGAGCTTTTGCTGCATGATCACTCCCATCAGCTCCTGCCCAGACCCCAAAAGGAAAGAAGATTGAGTGTGTGTGCGCCCGTTTGGGTATCTGTGCCAGTGCATGTATCTGTGTCAAGTTATGTTTATATGCCAGTGTACATCTGTCACGTTGTGTTTATGCGCCAGTGTGCATCTGTGTCACGTTGTGTTTATGCCAGTGTGTGTCAAGATGTGTGCATGTGTCAGTGTGTAAATAGTTGTAATATTGTGTGTGGGGGCCCACGTGTGAATCCGAGCATGGGGGGGTTAGAGACAAACATGCAAGTTGTGTGATGGATGGAGCATGATTGGAAACATGAGAAGATGGAGGGCAAGCACTTTATACTCTACAGCAAGCATGTCAAACTCAAAGTCTAGTACGGGCCACGTAAACAAGGTTTAAGTTTACGTGGGCCACAAAAAAAAAAACCTTAAATTTTCATAGAAACGTAGGTTTATTTTGAAAATTACAGTATTAAAAAAAAAGCATCTCCCTCTATTAAACCACAGCACCCCCTATACTAAATCCCAGTCCCCCCCCATATACTACATCCCAGCACCCCCATCTAGCCAACAAGCAGACTCCACTCACATTGCCGCTGCCAGTATGCAACTCCGGAGTCTGGCCTCTGGTATACCCCAAATGGTGCCGTCCGCACCCTGTGCCAGATCTGATCCTCCTGCTACTTCTTGAAACCCAGTGAAGGTGGAGCACGTTGATGTCACGTCGGAATGTGGCATTGCGTGCCTCCATGCACCTCCAGGTACGCCACTGACCAATCGCAGCCAATGCAACACTGACCAACACACAGACACACACACACATACTTTTCTTTATTGCTCCCTACCTTTTGAAGCCGATGTGGGGCATCTCCCTGGGGTCCTTCTATCTGCTCTTCACTGCTCCCTCGTGCGGTTTAGTGGTGCCAGAATATGACGTCATATTCCAGCGCCCAGTGTCACTACAGAAGGCGCGCATTAGGGAGCAGTCAGGAGCAGGAACACTGAGCTCCCTCACTGGCCCTCCTCCCCGGCCGGGTAAATTATAGCTGAGTAGGCACCTGTAATGTGGGGAAAGCAGGTGCCTACTCTGCTTGGAACACTGGGCACGTACTTGCGGCGCTCCGGGCCGCAAAGATGTCCCTTGTGGGCCGCGAGTTTGACATGCTTTCTCTACAGCAAACATTTCTGGCCGCCATTAATAACAAGTGGATACCTATATAATATCTTTCAATAATGCTTTTCCATAGAAGTTACTTAGCAATTTAAAAAATAATTTATTTTGTATCTGTTAACCTTTTTCACGGATCTGAACATATACAGAGCAATAGCCATTCTTCCATCAATAACCCCTTCTTTAACGCTAAGCTATAACAATATACATTCAGCAAAACATTTTCACTACTTGTGTCTGTAATGGGGCCTTCAGGAACATTACAGAAACCATTTGTGGGCAGCTGCTTATAGTCTGATTAGGAAGGCACTGACGCAGCATGCTTTAGTGTGTATGCCCCTTCCATAAACTGCTAATGTCTGTATTTACTTCATAATGAATAAAACTGTCCCCAATCCTTACATTTCAATTTAGCTGCCACGCTCAATATAAAAAGCTTATAAGTTGTCTGGGCTGTAGCACATTGTTTACGCTAACAAAATAGGAGCGTGCACAGTCTCACCCACTGCCTGTGTCCTTGTAATGTGTTTTACAGATAGTTCTTGCCATAGCAATGATATACAATGACAAGATGTATAGAACAATTCACATAGATACAAAATGCAAGACACACTAGGGTTTTCTTGTTATGAACTTTTATTTGAGAGATAAAGGTTAGTCTTTGAACATTGTATGTCTTCCCCCCTTTTCTTTCATACACAGACAGGGCTGGACTGGGAGGAGAAAAATTGACTACGGGCATTTTTGCTACAGCGGCCCACTAAGAAGTGTGAGCAGAGGGGTGTGTTTTGTCATCACCAATGACAAACCGCCCCCTCTCAAAGAAATGAGCATGTTGGTTCAATACTCTCCCCAGGGCAGACCATGCACAGAACTCTGCTGAAGAGCTCTAGCATGAAAAATACTCTGTATTTGTTCTGCACAGTGCAAGCAAATTTAATAACATGCTTGCACTGTGTTTCCTTCAACTTGTCTCTGGTGTCTCTATAAATGGATACCAGGAGACAAAAGGGCCAGGAAAGAGTATTGTGCATGTGTTTGGAGCCTGCTTGTGGTATTGCGTGTGTGTAGAGTGAGCTGATTGTGGTGTGGTATTGTGTAATAAGGTTGGTTTTAGTCATGTTGTGTTTGTAGTGTAAAGTGGTGTAATGTGATGCATATGTGGCTATGGGCTGTAGAGAATGTGTGTATTGGGGATATAGCAAGTGTGTGCATACAGGCTATAGTGTGTGTGTATATAGGTGATGTAGTGTGTGTTTAGGGGTGCAGTATGTGTTTGCTTACAAGGAATCTAGTGTGTGTATAGGGGATCCAGAGTGTGTATGTTAATAGTGTAGTGTGTGTGTATATGTGTGTGTGTGTGTATATATATATATATATATATATATATATATATGGAAGTATTGTGTATGTGTGTGGTGCAGTGTGTTGAGGGGGTTCTGTGTGTGCGTGAGAGTGCCGTGTGTGCGAGAGTGATGTGTGTGAGAGTGCTGTGTGTGATGGGTGTGAGAGTGCTGTGTGTGAGAGAGTACTGTGTGTGATGGGTGTGAGTGATGTGTGTGAGAGTGCTATGTGTGGTGGGTGTGAGAGTGCTGTGTGTGCTGTGAGTGAGAGTGCTGTGTGTGATGGGTGTGAGAGTGCTGTGTGTGATGGGTGTGAGTGCTGTGTGTGATGAGTGGTGTGTGATGGGTGTGTGAGTTCTGTGTGTGAGTTCTGTGTGTGATGGGTGTGAGAGTGCTGTGTGTGAGTGATGGGTGTGACAGTGCTGTGTGTGATGGGTGTGAGAGTGCTGTGTGTGATGGGTGTGAGTGCTGTGTGTGAGAGTGGTGTGAGAGTACTGTGTGAGTGCTGTGTGTGTGAGTGCTGTGTGTGATGGGTGTGAGAGTGCTGTGTGTGATGGGTGTGAGTGCTGTGTGTGATAGTGCTGTGTGTGATGGGTGAGAGTGCTGTGTGTGATGGGTGTGAGAGTGCTGTGTGTGATGGGTGTGAGAGTGCTGTGTGTGAGAGAGTACAGTGTGTGATGGGTGTGAGAGTGCTGTGAGTGATGTGTGTGAGAGTGCTGTGAGTGAGTCTAGTGTGTGTATAGGGGATCCAGAGTGTGTATGTTAATAGTGTAGTGTGTGTGTGTGTATGTGTATATATATATATATATATATTTTTTTGGAAGTATTGTGTATGTGTGTGGTGCAGTGTGTTGAGGGGGTTCTGTGTGTGTGTGAGAGTGCCGTGTGTGCGAGAGTGATGTGTGTGAGTGCTGTGAGTGATGTGTGTGAGAGTGCTGTGAGTGATGTGTGTGAGAGTGCTGTGTGTGATGGGTGTGAGAGTGCTGTGTGTGAGAGTGCTGTGTGTGATGGGTGCGAGTGATGTGCGTGAGAGTGCTGTGTGTGATGGGTGTGAGAGTGCTGTGTGTGATGGTTGTGAGTGCGCTGTGTGTGAGAGTGGTGTGTGAGAGTACTGTGTGAGTGCTGTGAGTGAGTGCTGTGTGTGATAGTGCTGTGAGTGAGAGTGCTGTGTGTGATGGGTGTGAGTGCTGTGTGTGATGTGTGTGTGAGAGTGCTGTGTGTGATGGGTGTGAGAGTGCTGTGTGTGATGGGTGTGAGAGTGCTGTGTGTGATGGGTGTGAGTGCTGTGTGTGATAGTGCTGTGTGTGATGGGTGTGAGAGTGCTGTGTGTGAGAGAGTACTGTGTGTGATGGGTGTGAGAGTGCTGTGAGTGATGTGTGTGATGGGTGTGAGAGTGCTGTGAGTGATGTGTGTGAGAACTGTGAGTGAGTCTAGTGTGTGTATAGGGGATCCAGAGTGTGTATGTTAATAGTGTAGTGTGTGTGTGTGTATATATATATATATATATATATATATATATATATTTGGAAGTATTGTGTATGTGTGTGGTGCAGTGTGTTGAGGGGGTTCTGTGTGTGTGTGAGAGTGCTGTGTGTGAGAGTGCTGTGTGTGAGAGTGCTGTGTGTGATGTGAGTGAGAGTGCTGTGTGTGAGAGTGCTGTGTGTGATGGGTGTGGGTGCTGTGAGTGAGAGTGCTGTGTGTGATGGGTGTGAGTGCTGTGTGTGAGAGTGCTGTGTGTGAGAGAGCACTCTCACACACAGCACTCTCACACACCACTCACACCCATCACACACAGCACTCTCACTCACAGCACTATCACACACATCACTCACACCCATCACACACAGCACTCTCACACCCATCACACACAGCACTCACTCACAGCACTCACACACAGCACTCTCACACCCATCACACACAGCACTCTCACACACAGCAGTGTGTGCTGTGTGAGAGTGCTCTGTGTGATGGGCGTGAGAGTGCTGTGTGTGAGAGTGGTGTGTGATGGGTGTGTGAGTGCTGTGAGTGAGTGCTGTGTGTGATAGTGCTGTGTGTGAGAGTGCTGTGTGTGATGGGTGTGAGTGCTGTGTGTGATGGGTGTGAGTGATGTGTGTGAGAGTGCTGTGTGTGATGGGTGAGAGAGTGCTGTGTGTGATGGGTGTGAGAGTGCTGTGTGTGATGGGTGTGAGAGTGCTGTGTGTGATGGGTGAGAGTGCTGTGTGTGAGAGGTGCTGTGTGTGATGGGTGTGAGAGTGCTGTGTGGAGTGCTGTGTGTGATGGGTGTGAGAGTGCTGTGTGAGGTGCTGTGTGATGGGTGTGAGGGTGCTGTGTGTGAGAGGTGCTGTGTGTGATGGGTGTGAGAGTGCTGTGTGTGAGAGTGCTGTGTGTGATGGGTGTGAGAGTGCTGTGTGAGGTGCTGTGTGTGATGGGTGTGAGTGCTGTGTGTGAGGAGTGCTGTGTGTGATGGGTGTGAGAGTGCTGTGTGAGTGCTGTGTGTGAGGTGATGTGGTGGAGTGCGTGTGTGGGGAGTGCTGTGTGTGTGTGGTGTGCTGTGTGATAGTGCTTTGTGTGATGGATGTGAGTGCTGTGTGTGAGAGTGCTGTGAGTGCTGTGAGAGTGCTGTGAGTGAGAGTGCTGTGTGAGAGTGCTGTGTGTGATGTGTGTGATTGCTGTGTGTGAGAGTGCTGTGTGTGATGTGTGAGAGTGCTGTGTGTGATGGGTGTGAGTGCTGTGAGTGATGTGTGTGAGAGTGATGTGAGTGCTGTGTGTGATGGGTGTGAGAGTGCTGTGTGTGATGGGTGTGAGAGTGCTGTATAAATGTTAGAATGGATTGTGTGTGTTGGGGGGCAAAAAAAAAAACACCCCAAAAACCAGGCATTAAATCCCCCCCTCCCTTCTTACCTTTAGCCTGGGAGGGGGGGACCGTCACGCTGGCACCTCGTGGGTGAGTGAACTCTAGCCTGTAGGGCTAGAGTTCACTCTCGCGAGATCCGCATAGCAACGCGCTGGATCTCGCGAGAGGAACCCGGCGGAGCTGCAAGTTAGAGCTCCGCCGGGTCTTCCTCTCCTGGCTGGCTGGCTCCCTCCCTCTCTCCCCGCCGGCGGCCAGATCTGAGATCTTTGATCTCCCCACCAGCCCTCCATGGAAAACAGCGGGGCCGGCGCTAGGAGAGTGCCGGCCCTGCATAGACCGGCAGGGGAGATCCTGGGACCTCCCCTGCCGGCCTCGGCCCATGGCCACCGCGGCCCACCGGGCTTTTGCAGTCCGGGCCTGTACACAGAGAAAAATTGTATAACACATTTTGTGCAAGCAAGCTTGTAGTATCCAAAGCTAAATCCCATTCACCAGAAGAGTTTGGTAATGCACTTTGTTTTGTCAGGACCATTCAGTATAGTGTGAGTTGCTGTGCTTACTTGGGGTGGGGGGATTATTAGCTAAATATGAATTGAAAATTCAACTGCAGGAATTGTCCAGCTGTAACAGCTGGCAGAATTGAAACATTTTCTCTCCCAGAAAAGCCAAACTGGAAAAATTGTCCATAGTTTAAGTTCTGTCATTTTTCTCCTGAAAAGTAATTCACATTAAATTCTGACAATTCACACTATACTGAAGAACACTGTGCGACCGTAATAAAATGGTTAAACATGTTCCTTTGTTTAAAATCTAATAAAGGATTTGGAGGGGGTTTATCCAACATGCTTGCTACGTGCGGTTATTATAATGCTCCTTTACTTCCTCCAGTTTGAATTTGGCTCTTTTTAGCCCTCGGAACCTGTCAATATTCAGTCTGTCCTGCCACTTTCTCTCATCTCTATCTCAGCACTCGGACCCTGTTAAATTATACGGAAGCTTCATTCTCTCTTTTTTTTTTTTTTGGCCTGCTTCAGAAAATGAATTAATAGTTGCTGATGCGTACCTGGGCTGACATTGCTGATCTGCCTTTACTCATCCTATAGATACTTAATCAGGTTTCAGAAGTTTTAGGAAAACACACCCCATGCGCACCTCAAATACAAATGAAAAGAACATTAATATGAGGCATGCAGCATACCAAAGTATTGCCATTTGCCACCCAAAATGTTTTAGAGCAACAAAGTATATCAGAATATTCACATTCTATTTGGATTTTTAACATTCAAGGTGTTTCCAACAGAGCAACAAACGTGAAAATAGTATAAATAAAAACATGGGTTTATTGACTGGTTACATCATATGCACCCCAATTTCTTAATAATAACAGTTTCTCTCATAATTAAAACATACCTACTCCTGGCCACCTTATTAACAGGTAACACAGCGTGGAAGTCATATTTAGCCTGCAGTCATTTGGAGTAAGTGCTGATGACACCACGTGAATGCTGCCAGAGTTTTATGAACACAGTGTGCCAACACATCACTGAAATAAAGTTTAATGGCAGACAACGACAGCATTACCACTCCTGTTTAGTCCATTCAGTTAAGGACTTTGTCCAAATGATTAGCTCCTTTGTCACGTTGCATTTATGTGGACATGGTTTTGTTGTGTTATGTGATGTGATGTGATGTCTGAGCTGCCGGCACACATTTCCATATTCTTTGCCTTTTGCAATTTGCAGCACGTCTGTTTCTAAAATACAGTACTTGAAGCACTATCGATACCAGCATCCTTGGCCATAGAATAGAAGTTTCCTTGACGTTTAAAGAGCTCATCTGGGCTTCCAAATTCAACAATATTCCCTGCGTCCAAAACCATTACCCTATGATAAAAAAGAAAGGGGATTTATTTAGCCAACATTTCAAATTCTCAGTATGAAACTCCTCCCCCAACACATGCCCAGCACTACTACACTGTGGTCTATATCTATATATATATATATATATTTAAAAAAAAAAAAAAAGGACAGGTGACAATAGCCTTTGTCAAGCTTTTTTTTAAAACTTGGACTTGGACTTGGCAAAGTAGTTCCTATTTATTTTTTGGATATTGGAAATTCTAAAGCAGTACGTAAGAATATTGATGATGATAAAAAAAATACAACACAAACTTAACAGCCATTTATTAGCAATACTGCAATGTTGCACATTAAACATACGATGGCTGTGTTACAAAGCTGTTGATACTAACAGGGTGTAGCACCAAGTACACTGATGTACGCAGTAATGTAATGCTGTAGAATACAGAAGTATAACCCTGATGCATGGTTAGGTATATTTATGGGGCATCTGGCTTATGCTGCAGACTGAAACATAGAATGATGAGAGTTAAAATCGACAGCGTTTTTTTACCCTAACCTAAGTCCTTCAACACCAACTACCTCGACTACAACAGAACCTTTAACCTCCCCTATTAGCGCATCATGTTTATAATCCTGGAGAAATTGTTGTGTCAATGTGAGTGACAACCAGATTTATAGTAACTGTACTCAATCAATTGAGCTCAGGGCTAGATTAAGAGCCCAGTGGGCCTGGTGCTGACCATTATGATGGGGCCTAATTACAGAATCTTATCGAGCAAAGACACTAAAACAGTCATACCTCCCAAGCGTCATGTATCTAATGGAGATGGTGTTGGAGGGAAACTCAAAGGATGCAGCTATAAGAATACACATACTCTATGCTAATCTCTCTCTAATTTATGCTTTCATCTTTCAAGTAAATCCATACCCGCTAACAGCAGTGTCCAGTGAAGCAGGAAGTCAATGGGCGGGGTAAAACGGTGGGCCATTGACGCGAATCACGTGACCAGAACTGCCAAAAGGGGCATGTCTGTCCAAAGAATTGGACGCCCAGTCCCCTAGTCTTCCAGTGTCTGTGTCCTCATTTCTCCCAGTGTCCCCATGTCTCGGTGTTTCCCTTGTCACTAGGATATTAGGGGACACAGTGAGACACGTGGACAAGGTGAGACATGGGGACAGTGGGACACCATGGGACACAGAGACATGGGGGCACTTGTAGATACAGACATGGGGAGACATGGAGACACTGGGAGACATGGGGACAGAGACATGGAGACACAGAGACTGGGAGACATGGGGACACAGAGACATGGAGACACAGACACTGGGAGACATGGGGACACTGAGACACTAGGGACACTGGCTGGGAGGCTTGAGGACACTGTGAGACATGGGGGCACTTGTGGACCCAGACTGGGAGACATGGGGACACTGAAAAATTTTGGGGCACTGGGAGACATGGGGACACTGAGACACTAGGGATACTGGCTGGGAGACATATGGACACAGAGACATGGGGACACATACACTGGGAGACTAGGGGACACTGGGTACCGTGGAGACACTGAGACACTAGGGACATTGGCTGGGAGACATGGGGACACTGGGAAACATGGGGACACAGACATTTTGGGACACAGACACTAGGGACACTGGCTGGGAGACATGAGGTCACTGGGAGACAGATATTTGGGGACACTGGGACACATGGGGACAATGAGACTCTAGGGACACAGAGACATGGGGACACAGACACTGGGAGACTAGGGGACACTGGGAGCCATGGGGACACTGAGATACTAGGGACATTGCCTGGGAGACATATGGACACTGGGAGACATGGAGACACTGAGACACTAGGGCCACTGAGAGACATGGGGACACATACAATGGGAGACTAGGGGACACTGGGTGCCGTGGAGACACTGAGACACTAGGGACATTGGCTGGGAGACATGGGGACACAGACATTTTGCGACACTGAGACACTAGGGACACTGGCTGGGAGACATGTGGACACTGGGAGACAGATATTTGGGGACACATGGGGACAATGAGACTCTAGGGACACAGACATGGGGACACAGACACTGGGAGACACTGGGAGCCATGGGGACACTGAGATACTAGGGACATTGGCTGGGAGACATAGGGACACTGGGAGACATGGAGACAATGCGTCCCTAGTGTGTCCCTATGTCTCAGTGTCCCCTAGTGTCTCAGTGTTCCCATGTTTCCCTGCTGCCTTTCCCACCCATCCTTCACTTCACTTCCCTGAGCTGTTGTCTGTCTGCAGACTGAGAGCTGCTGTCTGAACTCTCTACGCTGTGTAGCTGTTCCCCCGCGGATCAGTGAGTAAGAGAGGCAGGGAGGGATATGCTGTAACTTCCTATCCCTGCCTCTCTCCACACACAGTGACCCCTACTGGCTAGTGCTGGTATTGCAGAGTAATCTCCATTTATACTGAGAAAAATATCTGCATTTGTATTGCCGGTATTACTGCAATACTGGCACGGCCAGGCAGCCCCAAATACCGGCTGTGCTGGTAAAATACCAGTCAGGTGGCAAACCCAAGAGTAGTGTGTAAAAAATAAAAATAAAAAAAAATAATATATATATTTTTTAAATGGGCCTATTATATGGGCCTGGGCCTGGGGCTGGAGCTGCAGCTCCATCAGCCCCTATGTTAATCCAGCCCTGATTGAGCTAAAGTTGGGTGCAACAAGACCAGGAGCTAGCACAATCCCCACAAGGTTAAATCCAAAGAAAGAAAAACGGTCCAGGCACTTCTAAGCTCAGCAAGGCAAGTTTATTGGAGCAAGGTTACAGCAACATTTCGACACTGGGTCTTTGTCAAAACGTTACTGTAAGTGACACTGACATTTCAGACTTGCCTGTTCCACAGAGAGGTTGTGTGCTTGTGTGATGAGGACTCAGTGTAACAATCTTTCTCACCTGTTGTTGTCCAAAATGGTGTTTAATCTATGTGCAATGGTAAGCACTGTGCAGTCTGAGAATTCACTGCGAATCGTTTTCTGGATCAAATTGTCAGTTTCCAAATCTACAGCAGCTGTTGCTTCATCCAGGATGAGGATTTTGGATTTCCTGAGAAGAGCCCGAGCAAGGCACACAAGTTGCCTCTGACCAACGCTGGACCAAGAGGAGAAACAAGTTACATTACAAATCATGGAAAAGGAACAAATTTCTGGTAAAATATCAGGTAAAATGAAAAGGAGACACATTCCATATTACGGTAAGTAATATTATGGGGACGTAGCCATCAAATGATGATGCATTTAAACAAAACTA